TCCGTTAGTTTAGGGTTTAGGGCTTAGGATTTGGGGCAATTTGGGGTTTAGTGTTTAGGGTTTGGGGTTTAGGGTTTAGGGTTTAGGATTTGGGGTTTGGGGTTTAGGGTTTAGGATCCCTTCAAAGAGCTCTCAGCCCAAAGTAAGCTTGCCTGGTGCAGGACAACGGGGCGTGATGACTCAGATTCTGGCGTGCCTCGTCTGGGGTTGCTGCAGCATTTAAGGGTTTGAGGGAATGAGTACGTAAGGGGTTATGAGTAACTGTATGTCTAGCTGCCTTGTCGATCCCAAGCTCAAACCCCAACAAGTTTTTGTTATCACGGCTGATGGTTCGAATTGCGTCCTGTGGAGGGCTTCACAGGGCTCTGGCATGTCATAGTATGGCATGGTATGCTCGCTTCGGGTATATTTTTTTCCTGGTTGGTTGCAACCCCCTTGCGCCCCAAAGCTTTTAAGGCCCCCAACCTCTGAATCCCTAATCCTTGTACGTCCGCAGCCTGCTAAGACAAACCCCTGACCTCCCTAACGCCCAACTCAACACCCTTAGGGGTGCTCTCTTTCCCCAACAGCCCTTCAGCTCGAACATTTTTTGAAAGCTTTGAGAAGCAACCACAGAGAGCCCGCTACCCCGCAACTTTGATTCAGGAGTAGTTTTTTTGGCGGAGCTTTTGGGTCGCCGGCTATGTCGTTGTGACCTTGATCCCAAGCAAAGCACAACGCAACGCCTTCAAAAAGGGGGGTATGGTGTATTGGTAGCCCCTGCGGTCTGGGGTTTAGGAGTTTAGGGCGTAGGGCTTTGCGTCGCGATCCTGGGGTTGGGCGTTAGCTATAGTGGCCGGAGTATTCAGCCTTGGGTTTCCGAAAGTCTCAGATGATCCTTCTTGGTGCGGTCGTGCTGCTGGGCCTCATCTTCTTGGTGATCACCGTTTGCTTCGCAGCCGACTCGGCAGGGGGTGCACAAACATTGGGCTTGTAGCTGTTGTCTTCTTTGTACACGATTTGCTCAACATGTCTCTTTGTACAGGATTTCGCAGCTTGGATTTGTAGGTGCTAGGAGGTTCCACCACAAACAGACCTTAAGAGGAAGACGGGAGCCCACTGCAAGGCTTCAAGAGCGGCTGTAAAGGGACAAGCGGGCCAAGTGTTTTAGTTGGGCCTGACATGCCAACGGGCATTCTAGCCCAGCCTTTAACCAAAGGTCCTGATACATTGCGAAACCCTAACCCCTAAGGCTTAAACTTGACGCCCAAACCGAAAACCGGTTAAATGTCAATCCCCAAAAGGCTCGAGCTAGCGGCCATCCGAGACCCGAAACCGCAAATCGCAATCCCGAGATCCTCCACAACAACCCTCCTGCAGCCCTCAGCTTTTCTGGAGCCCCTCTACGTAGGGTCAAGGGTTCAGGGTTCAGGGTTTCTAAACCCCATAAGAAACCCTGAAGCCCCGAACCCTAAACCCGAAACCCTGAATCCTAAGCCCTAAACCCTAAACCCTGCAGCCCTCGAGTGCCGGAGCGTCAAAGCTGCAAAGGCTGTAGCCTCCCGGCATCATCAGCCGTACCATGATTACCACAGCCCAGAAACCCTCCTTCCCTCAACCTTGGGCCCAAGTCCTCGAGGTTGGCAATGCAAAGAAAGCCTAAAACCCGTAAGACTCCGAATTCCCCACCCCAAACCGTAAGCACAATACCAAATATCCCAAGCCCCAAACCCCAAACCCCAAACCCTAAACCCTAAACCCTAAACCCTAAACCCTAAACCCCAAACCCCAAAACCCCAAGCCTTGAAGGACTCCTCTGCATGCCAAGAAGCCCCAGGCGCGCTCCTGCTCGTCCGTGGAAAAAAGCAAGGCAGCTCCCGCCAGGGGCCCTGGGGAGCGCGGGTAGAGGGCTTTAGGGTTTAGGATTATATAAGGTTCAGGGTTTTGGGGTTTAGGGTTATAGGGTTTAGGGTTCAAGGTTCAGGGTGCAGGGCTTTGGGGTTTAGGTTTGGGGCTGGAGTTTAGGGTGTAGGGGCTTAGAGAGTTTAGGGTTTAGGGTTAAGGGTGCGTAGGTCATGGAGATTATGGGTGCAGCGATGAGATCTTTCAATTTCAAGCTTCTCTAAAGACAGGTAGGCTGTAAGGGTTGTGGACTTTGGGGTGTTGTTGCTTGTCAGAGCTCCGGCTCTGTTGTAGCATGTTGGCGGCTGGGAGAGCGCATACCAAGTCCCTGCACCTCAAACCCCAGCCCCAAAACCGGCAAACCTGAAATCCTAAGCTGGAAAACTCGGGGAAGGTGCTGTGCTTTCAAGACTCGGGGTTTCGTGTTCGAGATTTAGGATTTGGGTGTCTTAAAAGTGTAGGTATGTAGGTATGTGTGCATGTATGTAGCCAGACAGCCATATGTGCATGTACGCACGTATGCATGCGTGGGGTCGCCAACAAACCCATGACCCCTTCAATAAGGTCCTGGCAGGCAGTTATAGGGTTCTTTTGATGTCAGGTATAGGGAGGTCCACAGAATTCAAGGTGGGGGTAGTTTAGAAGGTGGGGGTAGGTTAGGGTTTGGGGCTTAGGGTCTATACAATTCAAGGTGGGGGTAGGTGTCCTTGAGTCCCAAGGACATTGCGTTTGTCCAGCCATCTGCGGCTCTCCGCGAGGACGGGGGCTAGCTGACCCTAAACCCTACCACCCCCTTTCCCAAACCATAATCCCCAAGTCCGAAGCCCCAAAATCTCTAAAGTCCGGTAGGCTACGAAAGGCCGCTGCCATGAACCCTAAACCCCAAGCCCTAAACCCTAAACCCCAAACCCTAAGCCCTAAACCCTAAACCCTAAACCCTAAACCCTAAACCCTAAACCCTAAACCCTAAACCCTAAACCCTAAAGGACTGAAGTCTAAAGGCTGCCATTCCTGGGCTGTTGGTCTGGGTCCTCCAGCGCCCATGGAATGTTGGGCTGGGAGTTTAGGGACCCGAAGCCCTAAACACCACTGGGTTCTTGTTAAGGGATTTAATTTAAGTTACCATAATAGGGATCTATAGTAAATAATATGGTTTCCTTACTATGGTAACTTAGATTAAATCCCTTAACAAGAACCCAGACAAAATCCTGAACCCGAAGCCTTACACCACGTCTCTGGAGGTGTTTGAGAGAGGTCTTGGCCACTGTTAAGGTGTTCAAGCACAATATTCCGGTAGTTAAGCCCGTTCACAAGCCTATAAACACACGAATATGAACTCATAGAAGCCTTGTATGAGCGCTACAAAACTCGAAAGGGTAGTATATAATTGGAGGCCCGAATACGTAACAAGGGATATTTTTTCTAGGGATCATTGTCATGCTCGTTCAGGCCCCTAAGTGAGTGCCCTTATAGACTTATAGAGCCTTTGAAGAGCCGGATATCACTTACACCCTAGACCCCTAAACCTCGAACCCTCGAACCCTCAACCCGTAAACCCGAAACCAAAAGCCCTGATCTTGATGCTTAAGTCCTCAACCCTAAACCCTAAACCCTAAGCCCTTAATAGCGGGGCTCTGGGAGCTCGGCCTGGCCTGAAGGAAGCTCTACCTGCCATCTGTCCGGCGGCCTAGGTCTTGTGTTTCTTGTTCAGGGATGTACTTTCAGTTACCGAAATATAGAAACCATGCTGGTTACTATAGATCCCTGTTGTGGTAACTTACACGAACTCGGTAGTCTCGTGCTTCGGGGCTTTAGTGGATCTGGGTTTGGGGTTTTGAGTCTGGGGTCCAGGGTTGCTTTTGGATGTTTGGTCTAGGGTTTCGGGTTTATTTGGCTTTAGGGTTTTGGAAGAGGGGAGAGAAGGTTTCCCGATGTCCTTGAATGGAGCATGCAGACCTCCGACTGACAAATTGAAGCTCTTATTGCTAGTTGCTCATTGCGTCCCCTTCCAGTCCCTATACAAATATCCCCATTCTACGGCGAGATACCCCGAAACCCTGTTCTAATCATCAAGAGCCCCTAAACCCAAACCAAAAGACCCAAACCCTAAACCCCAAACCCAGAACGCTTGAGTTTTTGAGCCACTATGGCGGAGTCCCGGAGCCTTCAACTTAGACCCAACATCTTAAACAACTCCTAAACCCAAGGTTCAAGGTTTGGGGTTTAGGGTTTACCTGAAATCCTACGTTAGGCCCAATGAAGCTGCAGGGCTGGTGGAGAGCTTTTTGGGCACCGGGGGTAGATGTAGAACTGTTTAGGGTTTAGGGTTTAGGGTTAACTTGTTGGATTTGAAAAGCAGTTTACAGGCTCTGAGGTAGTAGGGTTGACCTGTAGCCGAAAAGACCTACCTTTTTGAGGGTTTCTCTCTTTTTTTGGTTTCCTCACATAGTTCCATGAGCAGGTAGGTCTTTTGGGCCACAGTAGGGCTTAAGGTCTAGGGCCTACGGTTTCGGTGCTAGGGGTGGCAGGTCCATGCGGTTGGTCTTCTGACAGTGTAAAGTTGAAAGTTGAGGGGAGTTGCTACATGGGTTAGTTGCGCATTGGCTGTAGTTGTTTTCGGGCGGTCCTATTGGTGTTTGAAGATGTTCCCCTTGGTGTTGGAACGCTTAGAGTGTGGGCCAAAGTGGTTCTGGAACCCTAAACTTTATAAACCTTGGACCCCAGATCCTGAACCCCACAGTGCACAGCCTAACCCTGAAGTGCTAAACCGCGGGTTGATTCAGAGTGGTCTTAGCCCTCACTTGTCCCAGCGTAGTCCTGGAGTGCTGGGAGGGTCCGGCGAACTCCAAGCCAGCTTCATTCAGGATTCGCATTTGAGGACCTCTCTCTGTACCCTAGACCCTAAACCCTTAAGCCTTAATAACTTAACCCTAAACCCTAAACCGTTAACCGTTCCTTACATGAAGACTTCAGCAAACCTAGAAAGCCCTAGAAGTCTTCAGTTTCCGGGGTCTCTTAGTGATTTTCGAGCGTCCGGCGCATTGTACACCGCTTCTTCTCAACGCGAAACCCTGACGACTACTATGGCGGAGGGGGGGCTCTTACTGATTATTAGAATAGGGTTTAGGGTCTAGGGTTGAATAGGGCTTTGGGGCTATACTATACGATAATTATAATAATCCGGGTTTAGGGTTTGCGTAGGGTCTAAGGTACATTGTACACTGCTTTTTCTAAGCCGAAAGGGTACCTTCCCTTGGAACACCCGCAAACTGCAACAGCAGAATCCTCACGGTTTATGGTGTAGGGGGTTTGGTGGATTGTAGGTTTTTTTTTTGGGTGTGTTTTCGGGCTTTCGGGCTTTTGGGCTCTTTAGGCTGTTAAGGGTGTTTAGGGTTTTTAGGGTTTCGACCTGGATTAGACATTCCTCGCGCGCCAAGGCAGGAAGTTCCTTGCCAACACTCGCGACCAGCCGTTCACAGTTCCTCGGCTTGCAGCTTTCCTGCGTCGACAACACTACGGCCATAGTCTGGGTTCTTGTTAAGGGATTTAATTTAAGTTACCATAATAAGGAAACCATATTATTTACTATAGATCCCTATTATGGTAACTTAAATTAAATCCCTTAACAAGAACCCAGTAGTTGGCATCGGTAGTGCTGATGTTGGTGTTGTTGTTGATGACGAAGGAGAACACTACCAGAGGCGTGTGATGCTGACGATGAGGACACCGGTGATACATGTGTTGCTCATGGTGACGACGATCATGGTGAACGGCACGGGTGAACTCGATGACGATAGAGATGTTGGTAGCCTTTGGCATGATGACGCATTACACCGACATTGATGATGTTGGCGGTGCTGAGTTCACCATGGGGGTGGTGATTTTTGAAGACGACATCCACAACCGCCACTGTTGCGAAAGTAGAATCCAATATATCTACACTGGTGGTAGATATCGCTGAGCCATAACAAGCGTACCTGTAAGCGACAAAGTCATGGTAGTGATCGCATGACACCATGGGTGAGACTGTCAGCTCTACCGCTAGCACAAGTTTTTATGTCAACTTCTGATACGATATGGTGATGAGCCTGAGTATGATCATGATCGTAGTGTTGATGATTGTGGCAGCCCGCGATGACTGGGGATCTGCTGCTGATGAAGCGATGTAGTTGCAGTGATGACGGTGACGAGACGATGACGATGATAGCGCTCATCCTTGGTTATGTGGTGGTGATGATTTCCACGTGGGATTATGCTGGTGCAGCACGGAGAGCGGTGAGGATTGCACCTTTAATGTCTCAGTGACAAGCAGATCAACCGATTCCAAACCCTGCTTGTGCCGTGGCAGAAGAAGCACCAGGTGCTTCTTGCTCCGCTGCGTGAGGACAGGGCTTCGGGTTTAAGGGCTCTGCAGAACACATTGAGACAACGACCAAGCAGAATCGATAATCTGAACCTGGCGAATAGCGAGGATTATTGAGGAGACGATGGAGGTTCATAAGAGAGAAGTGCCCTGTTGCAGAGCACAGGAGTCAGCATCATTGGTATGCAAAGATACCTTAATGAAAGCAAGGTCAGGAAAGTACAAGTCCAAACAGCAGTGCACGAGAAGTCCGAAAACCGGGGGCAGGAATGGAATGCGAGTCCAAGGGTATACAAAGGAACGATGGACTGCTGAGTTATGCGAATCGTACGGGGCATCATTATCTTTATCAGTGTCTTCATCATCGTGTCCCTCTCGTCGTCTATGTGATCAGGACTGTCCTTACCCTCGCAGTCCCTAGCACCATCGTTATACATTATTGCATCACCAGTGCGATGTGGGTAGTTCTCTAAGTTAGGGCCCCCTTTCACGTCCCCAGAATAGTATGGCACCCTTTTCAGCAGCACCAAAGAACCCCTAAAAGGGACCCTAACTTAGAGAGAACTGCCCATGTGTGGGACCCGATCCGGAAGCGCGAAAGACAATGGCAGGAAGGGATATGTTCTCGGTTGCCATGTGCACCCTGAACTGCATGAACCGGACTTCATAGCGGTTCGGTAACGGTGTACCCTAAACCCTATACCCTGATCCCTAAACCCTAAACTCTTCAATTTTTGGGTTTTGTGAAGGGTCTTGTTGTGCTTGAAGTGGTTCTGTCGGGATCCCACACCCGAAATGCTGAAGCCCACCGTTCCGAAACCCTAAAGCCCTGAAGTCCTGAACCCTAAACTAAACCCTAAACCTTAAACTCTCAACCTCCCAGGCCCCCCAACCAAAAACCCTATTCTTATTATTAAGGCCCCTAAACCCAACACCCTTACAGTAGCCCTTATAATAGTATCCCTTAAAGGAACCCTTAAAAGGGACCAAAACCTGGAAGTCCATTTAAACCCTAAACCCTAAACCCTAAACCTTAAACCGTGATCCAAAAGCATGTTTCCGTTGTAGCTTCACGAAGTCCCACATTCGGGGAGCCTTGACCGGAAACGCCGGGGTCCTTGACATACGGCTTAGGGTTTAGGGCTGAGGGTTTAGGGTTTAGGGTTTAGGGCTTCTTAGAACTGAAAACCTGCAGCAACCCCTCTGTAGAACTTCGAGAGAACCCCTGAAACACAATTTCGGCACCCTGAGCCCCAAACCCAAAAAACCCCAAACCTTCAAACAGAAAGCCGACATGGGTAGTTGTCAAAATTATGGTCCCTTTTGGGGTACCCTAAATAATAGGTGCCGTATTATAATAAGGACCCAAAAAGGGACCCTAATTTTGACAACCACCCACATGTTGTTCGAGGACAAGGTAGACTGGACGCTGGATGTCTTGAGCAACTGGAGCCACCAGGCGTTTTTTGCCTGGAGTTTCGGTTTACAGGGCCTGAGTAAATGATTCGAGAAGGGCTTTGGACATATAGGGCTTAGGGTTGAGGGTTTAGGGTTCAGGGTTTTAGGGTGAAAATACCCTAACCTAGTAGTTCATCACCAGGCTTGGTCGACGACCGGCTCGGATCTAGCATGCTTGATTCGGAGTGTGGTGGTCAGTCAGAAATCCACGTGGAAGCCGACTTTGCTGCTCACGGTAGGCTCAACTCTAAGGCAGATGCAGGGGATGACGGGTTCGCATGGTGCGTCCCAGATCCAAAACGCCTTGAGACCTCACTGCCATGGCCACTCTCTTTGGACTCCTGTCGGTTTACATGTGTTCAGTCACAGCCGATCAGGAAGAGGTTGACCTGGCGTTCAGACTTCTTTCAGGCTTGGGCGCCAGGGAGGTGGAATCTCTCGTCGTCCTCGAGGATGGAAGAGTGTGGGGCATTTTTGCGAAACGGCAGCAGCTGAAGGGGAGCATCCCGGCTGAGCTGGGTAAGCTCACTGCCTTGAACTTTCTTGATTTCGCTGGAAATCAGCTCACGGGGGCGATTCCCACTGAGATCGGCAACCTCGTCGAGCTCAGATTCCTCGACCTTTCCCACAACCAGCTCACCGGGCAGATTCCGCAGGAGCTGGGCCGCCTCACCCGGCTTCTCAAGCTCACCTTGGATTACAACAAGCTCACGGGGCCCATCCCCGGGACCATAGGCCGGCTAACTGAGCCTGGGATCTTCAGTAGCATCACTTTTTTTTGTTTTAAACCCTTTTTTGTTTTGGGGTATTGGTTCCTAATATAATATAGCTAACCCAAACAAGTATATTTTTTTCCAGTTGGCTACTGAACAGCTTAGGAGCTGACGATGCTAAAGCTGGAAGAGAACAGCCTGTCTGGACCGATTCCCGCCGAGATCGGCGGCCTCACAAGCGTAAGAATGTTCCTCGTGTCTCAAAACCAGCTCACGGGGTGGATCCCTTCTGAAGTTGGGAATTTAAGCAGCCTCGTCCATCTTGATTTAGCCAGCAACAGGCTCAGTGGCCCGATCCCGGCGACAATTGGCCGCTTGATTTACCTGCAGTCCCTGAGTCTTTTCGACAACCAGCTCACCGGCCCATTCCCTCAAGAAATTGGCGAGCAGCTTCCCATCCTTAGATCACTCCTGCTTCACAAGAACTTCTTGGAGGGCAAGTTCCCTGACCGCTGGAGAAATCCGAAGGGAATTGCCGCACTGACCCTGCACAAGAACCGGTTCCGGGGATCCCTGCCCCGCGGCCTAGAGAGCATGACCAACCTGAGGTGGTTCACAGTGCATGGTAACTATTTCTCTGGGACTGTTCCCCGACTCAGTCTGGAACACAGAGCGAAGGCCACGCTGCACGGGAACCACTTCAGCTGCCAATTGCCGGAAAGCCTGCGAATCGACGGGCTGCCTGTGCATGCCACGGTGGTCATGGGCAACATGGTTGGTGTAGGGCGCAACATCACTGCAAACTGGGTCAGTCAGACGGAGTTGCAGGACTTCTTATATGTGTCAAGCAAGGTCTGGTGGGGAAATATGTTTGTATTGGCGGGCTTGCCAATGGCAATCCTGGGGACTGGGGTCATCTACTGCCAATCTCGGCAAGCCAGCGCCCGCAGTACACAGGCACCAGGGCACCAGGGCATGGGATTGGGATGCCTTTAGCAAGCCGCGCTGTCGAAGGGCTCCAAAAAATCTACTGCATGGTAAGACCCCGCCAAAGACATGTTCTGTCTGATTCAGGCAGGCAGCAACGCTTCAGGCGCTTAAGGCAGACCGCCGTAGGGCATGTTGGGCAGCTCTCTGCATTAGGGTCCCTTTCCGTGTGGGTAACATTCAAGTGCGTAAGAGTCACGCTTTCTTTTGGGACCCAAAAGTGTCTTAAGTTAAGATAACCCGCAGTATCCCTGCTAAGAAGGTAACTGCTCTGAACATCCACGCCTCGTTTATGCAGAGCCTGCGGCTCTCGCTGTGGATTGCGGCGCTCTGCGCCCTGCTGCTGCCTGCTTACCTCCACGGTGCACGGTGCCGCGGTCGATTATTGGCCTGTATGTCGCCCTGTACTTTAGGGATGTTCATAGAGGTTCTCAAAATCGTTTGGGCAATTAGAGTGGACGTGCAAGCTTCAGCACGCAGCCTCGGATGCAGGACAGCGCAAGTCCACTGATGCCCCCAAGCTACCTAAGTCCGCATCCCCTGGCACGGACCTTGGGTTTCCGGTTATCCCAGGTACTACGAGTGCGGCCAGCCGCTTGCGCGGAGCACGGCGGCCTACTTGGACGAGTCTCCTCTGGCGGAGCTTTTCGTGATTTTGGTCTGGAGCCTTGCCACTCTCTTCTTCTCTGCAGCGATATCTGTTCTTCCCAAGCTAGGCTGCCGGTGCTGCAAATGGCCTCGCTTAAAGACGTCGTTTGTCCTCAGCAGCCTACCAGTAGCATTTGCTTTGATGTATTCCTTGCCTTTCGGCCTCCATGCCAGGTGAAGGCGTAGAGCCGCCAGACAGGCCCTGGCAGCTGAAGCACCGGCTTGCGTGGCTTCTCTGGATCGTGCCCGTCACGATGATCTCGCTACCTTCGATCCTGTATTCTGTGGCACAGGCCGGTCATTCCCGAGCTCGGCTCTGTGGAACGCTAGATGTGCTGCAACTCTTTATTGTGGAGCTGCCAACAAGTTACAGATTTCGGGAGGTGGCGTTTCTGGGGTCATGTTAGGCTCAGGGTGATACTGTCTGGTGTCGGTGAGTCTTACGTACTTTTTGGTCTTCTCCACCGTGGTCTGGGAGGCACTTCCGAAGGACAACACCCTGGTGGCAGACTCGATCCTGAACCTCGCGCACCGCGCAGCCCCCGCACTGATTGTTTTTGTCGACGAGGTGCTTGCAGCACGGCTCTCCATCAAGTATGCAGGTGCAGCCAGTTCTTGGAGCCCGCATGCCCTGTATCATAAATCCACGAAGAAGCTTCGATACTCTTTCTGCATATCTGGTTCAATTAAAAAGAGAATTGCAAATACATGTTTTCCCCTCTCTCGTGGTAGAAGAGCTCACCGCATCTCGCCCTAAGTTCCCAGACACAGACTCCAACAGCCCTTGACTAGGACTAGGATCAAACGAGCATACATCACACTGAGGTTCCTTTAGTTTCAAGTATATTTCCTTGAACAAAGGGGTTTAGGAGTCTCTGGGGACCCTTAAGCCTTAAACCCTAAACCCTAAACCCTGGCAGGTTTATCTGGCATCAAGGCAGACAGACTTCTCATGGCGCTGAGGTTGTGTGCAGCGTGGCTCCTTCCGCTGCTCGCGGCAGTCGCTTTGCAGGAAAATTGCCTGGCAGGATGGAAGATGTGGTGGCAAACCTGCGATCCAAATTCTGAGATGCATGCAGCCTTCAATTGGTGGATGGTAGGAACACAGGCATCGATCCTGAATACCACGACAGACATGTGCAGCGCTGATTCTGAGAACTTTTGGGAAGGCCGTTGCAGCAGGTCTGTCATCGAAGGTCTATCGCCTCTCATCCTCCAAAAGTTATTGATTCGGATTGCTGTACAGCCCTTTGGGATGGTTCTGGCCTGGCGAGCATCCAAGCTGGAAGATGAACGGCCCCTGGACGAAGGCGGCCGACATCTTCGGCTGCTCGGCTGGGGCCCCAAGACCAGTAGATCCCTGGACTCGATGCAGCAGCATGCCTATTTCACCACCCTACTGGAAACTGCTATCGTTTGGGGCCCACTGGTTCCATTGGTCAGCTTTGCCGTGGTGGCTGCGTTCTTGAGCAATGCGATGCTGTTTGAGATAGGCCTCAGCTTTGGCGTCCGGCTGCCCACGAATGCAGCCAACAGGGGGGCTGCCCTGTCGCGCTCCTATTTGCGACTTGCATTGGCCACTAGCTGTGTTTTCCAGCTTTGGCACGCCTTCGGAACTTGCATGGCTGGGCGCACGATGCTGCTTCTTACAGCCACGTTGACTGCTGCTGTCAGCTCTTTGGGTCTCCCGCGCGTGCTGCGGCCGGCCAGTCGGCCGCCCAGGACGGGGCCAGAGGGGCTGGAGATGACTGAGATGGAAGAGGCCAATGCTGAATTTCCGCCGCTGCGCATCTTTTTGCAGAGAATCATCCACAGTTAACAGCAACACTTCGTGAAAGAATGCCGTGGTCAAAGCGATGAGAGTGTTTGCAACAAGCATAAACGTGTTGCGGTCAACGGTGGGAGCTGGGCAATGAGCGAGTCTCAACTGGCACGCGCGTCACCTCTTGCAACCCTTCTAGAGACCCTATCCCTTCTTGTAGCTCTTGTAATAGTACCAGGTAATACCCTTATGAAGACTCAAGTAACCCAGGTTGCTTCAGTAATGCAGGGGGCGATTCGTGCTCCCTCTCTCCAGGCCATTCTGCGCGTTTGCCTCTGTCGGGGGGCCACGAAGCTGGAGGCGCTTGGGGTTGGCCAAAGCTCATTTTCTGGAGTTTAGGGCCTTCGACTTTGGGGGAAGCTATAAAGCCTGCATAACCTTCTGGGCCCGGCATAACCTGGCAACTGTCGCACTTTAGTGTTGAAAAGCCTTGCACGATGCACGATACACGATCTGCGAGTATATATATATATATATAGATGCACATATATATATATACATATATATATATATACACATATACATATGTATATATATATATATATATATGTATATATGGTAACCCCCCCTGGACCAACCTCCGCCATGAAACAGATCTTGTCTGCACTTGTGTTGCTGCGAATTAATATCGAAAACCCTGTAAATACCGATAAACTCTGTGTTGGTTCTTACGGTCTTAAGCTTATATGA